ATTGCAATTTTCACATTTGACAAAATAGATTTCAAAGCTACAAGGATACAAGGGTAAAAGGATTAATGTAACAATAAGAGATCTTAACACCCAGATACATAAGACCCATAATGAGATTTAGATTCAACGAGACAGAAAATTGATAACAATATCCAGGACTGGAACTAAGATCCAGAACAAATAAACTCAATAGAGCTCTCCATTTTAAACACACAAAATATACATTATCCACAAAATCTAACAATATATCTAAAGATATACAAAGACTCAAAACAAGGGGATGGAAAAAAACTCACCAACCAAATGGAGAGCAAAAATAAATAAATAAAAAGCAGGAGTTGCAATTCTCACACTTAATAAAATAGATTTCAAAGCTACAAGGATGCAAGGGTAAAAGGATTAATGTAACAATAAGAGATCCTAATACCCAGATACATAAGACACATAATGAGATTTAGATTCAACGAGACAACAAATTGATAACGATATCCAGGACTTGAACTCAGAGACAGAACAAATAAACACAATAGAGGTCTCCATTTTAAACACATAAAATATGCATTAACCACTTTAAACACTCAAAATATTGATCGGCCATTATTGAAACCCATTTTAGGAATGAAGTAATATTCCTTTTTCCCTCTTTTTCTTTTCTTCCCCTCCTTTTTCTCTTTTTCCCTCTAAAAAAAAAAAGAAAAAAAGAGTGAAAAGCTAAGTCACAGAGAAGCTATCTGTACTATATAAAAAAAAAAAAGAAAGAAAAACAACCAAAAACTAAATTACCCAAGCCTCCAGTGAGGTAACCTGAGCCTCCAGTGAGGCAACCTGAGCCTCTAATGAGGTAACCTGAGCCTCCATTGAGGCAACCTGAACCTCCAGTGACATCTCACAGTAGGCTTGCCTGGTCAGAGTTGCAATGACCACGTCCAGTCTCCCAACTCAGGCCCCCCTGATGGACCAGTCCCCAGACCTGACTTATCTCCGGAGGTTCCCAGGACCCTGAAGAATTTCGGGTAGTTGCTCATCCTCCATAGGGCTGGAACATCTCAGGGGGCGCCTCACCTAGAGGCCCCAAGGTGGGAGTGGCTGCCCAGGCGAGACTCTGAGACAGCTTCTGTCTGGTGATGGATGAAGATGAATCTCGGTGGGACCTCCAAAATGTTGTACTGGCCCGAGCATAGAAAGTCAACACCAAGACAAAAGTATGCAAAATTGCAGGGTCTTTATTGCCGGCAGCCATGGAGGACTCACATCTCTCCAACCCGTGGCCCCGAAAGGAGGGTGTCAAGACCTTTTATACCCATAAAACCACCTCGGGAGTGAGGGTGAGGGGCAGAAATGAGGGTGAGGGGCTCCAGATATTCCAAGGGCCAGGGGACTTTTGACATTCTGATTGTTACTTAAGTGGTTCACAAAAGTCAAGATTGGCATTTGTTTACACATTGTCTGGGTAGGGTGGAAATTACAGTCCTTAATTACTTATTATAATTCACAGGGGCCAAAATGGCATGGGTTTGGACTGCTTGCCTGTCACATATTGGGTTACAGAGAGCAGTTTCAGTAGAAAGCCGAGGAGGTATGGTTGAGGTATGCAGTTCTATGGGGCTTTTACCATGTCACAATATGACATCCAAAATAAGAATACAACACCCACAGTGTGTTGCTTATGTAGAAAACATCTGTAATGCTAATGCAAAGTGTCAGTACTAAAATGTTAATATACTATCTGCACTACCTACATGGCCCTGCCAATATAGCACTCTTAATGACACTGACATATCAATGCAAACATAGAAAGAAATGTATGGTTAGGGTTTAGGGTGAGGGCTAGGGTTAGGGGTTAGGGTTAGGGTTAGGGGATACCAGTTAGGATTTAGGGATTTGAAGAATTTTAGGCAAAATAAATTTAAACAGTTTATTTGACCAAAGGAATGATTCTTGAATCATGCCTGAAGCACCAGAACAGAAAACAGGGTTTGGGGCTTCCAGCTCTTAGTGGTGGCAGCAAAATGAGGTTTCTCATTGACTCCAGCTAGATGACCACCTATTGTGGGGATGGTTCCCTCAGCATCCCTAGACATATAGCCAACTGGTGCCTGGGCTTTTGGTCATTGACTGTGTTTGGTTTGTTAATTTAAGTCTATTTAAATGCCTCCGAGTTCAGTTTCTGTTTGCTTAGGCAAGACCTCAGGCTAACAGCCTCCTCCTTTTTTGTTTTAACATGTCAAAACCATAATTCATCTTTATTTTACTTTGCTGACATTAATAGAAGTCAATTCACATTTTTGTTGTTTTTCAGAAAGTCGGTTTAATTGGCAACCTATTTGTGGTGGTGCATGAAATAATGTCTCTTAATCGTTAGCATCTTAGATTAGATGAAATATGTTAACTCTATTAAGCTTTGTTATTAAACCATAACGGGAGTTGAGTTTCTTTTTCTCTTAGGCTTTAACCATTTAAAATATACTCAAGCATCTCCTAATGATGTGGATACTTTCTGAGAAATTTGTCCTTAGTGATTTCATCTTTGTGTGACCATCATAGCGTGTCCTTATAAAACCTAGATGGTGTAGCCCACTCCATATGTAAGTTATATGGTATAGCCTATTGCTCCCAGGCTACAAACCTGCATAGCATGTGCGTGTACTGAATGCTGTAGTCAACTGTCACACCATGGTGATTGTTGATTCTCATCTGAAAATATCTGAGTCAGGTCTCAGTCAGTGTAGAAAGCTTATTTTGCCAAGGTTAAGGACATGCCCATGACACAGCCTCATGAGGTCCTGACAATGTGGGTCCAAGATGGTCAGGGTAGAGCTTGCTTTTGTACATTCAAGAAACAGGAGACACCAATCAATATGTGTAAGATGTACAGTCATCTGGTCCAGTAAGGTGGAACAACTAGAAGTAGGAAGTGGGGGTGCTTCTAGGTCAGAAGTAGATTGAAAAAAGGTTGCATTATTTTGAATTCTTGATCAGCCTTCCACTGAATACACAATTTACTCAGGTTCAGTGAATCTGCATTTTTACCTATACAATAGGGCAGAGGAATGGTGTGATCTCGGCCCATCACAGCCTCCACCTCCCAGGTTCAAGTGATTGTCTTGCCTCAGCCTCCTGAATAGCTGGGATTACAGGTATGCACCACCACACCTGGGTAAGTTTTGAATTTTTAGTAGAGACAGGGTTTCTCCATGTTTGTCAGGCTGGTCTCGAACTCCCCACCTCAGATAATCTGCCTGCCTTGGCATCCCAAAGTGCTGGGATTACAGGCGTGAGCCACCATGCCTGGCCAGGAAGCTTATTTTGATTCTTACATTGTCAACTGTATTTCCGACATAATTTGTTTTCCTTGGAGCATTAAATACTGCTTTGGTATTTTTTTACACAAATAAGGCACAGATCCCTTTTTTTCGTATTCATTACAGATTTCAGTATTTACAGAGTTAGTGTGTAAGGGCATTACACAATCAGGACATAGGGCTTTACAGGCTAAAAGTTTACCAGTTAAAGATTACGGCAGAAGGGCACCAAGATAGGAGGTTCCGGTTGGTGGTTAAGAGCTCCATAGTAGAGATTAGAGGGTGAGATTAGGCCGACTAATCCGGTTAGGTTGACAGGTCAGAATTACAGTGAAGGGTTACTGTGAAAATTTTAGTGAAATTTTTGGATTGGGGTTATATACAGGTTAGAGTAGGTTTAGCTTATGGTAAGGATTAGAGTGGGTAAAAGTAACATTAGGGTTCATGACTGAGGGTTAAGTTTAGGTTAGATTTATAGTTAACGGTAATTGGAGTAAGGTTAAGGTTAGGGATTAGGATTAAGGGTTAGTGTTAAGGTTTATAGTTTAGAGTACAAATTAGGGTTAGGGTATGGATTAGGGTTTTACGGTTAGGTTTGTTAGGGTTAGAAATAGGATTGGGGGTTAAAGTTAGGATTAGGGTTGGGGGTAGGGTTGGTTGGTTTAGGGTTAGGTGTTAGGGTTGGGTTTAGGGTTTAGGGCTAGGGTTAGTGTGAGGGTTAGGGTTGTTAGGATTAGGGCTAAAGTTAGGGTTAGAGTTTGGCCTATGGCAAGGCTTAGCGTTAGGGTTAGGGCAAGGGCTATGTTTAAGGTTAGGGTTTAGGGGTTAAGTTTAGAGGGTCAGGGTTAGGGTCAGTGTTAGGGTTAGGCTTAGGCTTAGGCTTAGGGTTCGTGGTTAGTCTTAAAGTTAGGGGTTACGGGTTAGGGATATGAGACCTGGAGTCAAAGGAGGTTTATTTGGAACTGTATAATTTGACTGCCCTATTGGATTTCTGTCTTGAATGGGACCTGTAACCTCTTTATTTCTCATATTTGGAATACTTGTATTTTCCCAATGCCTGTATCCCCATTTTATCTAAGAAGTAACTAGCTTGGTTTTGATATTACAGCTTCATAGGTGGGGGACTTGCCTTTTCACAGATGAGAAAATGGACTGTGGACTTTTGAGTTAATGTTGAAATAAGACTTGTGGGATTTTGGGAAGGCATCATTGGTTTTGAAATGTGAGGATATAAGATTTGAGGGGTCAAAGTTAATCATAGGAATGTAGGCTAAACATATAAAAATTTTGCAAACCCATTAATTTTTATGGTGAAAGAGATATATTTTATCATCTTTGATGTAAAAAAAATTAAAAATTAAAAAACAATTTTTTAAAGTATGCAGTGCAAAGTAGAAAATAAAACCTGGTGAGGCTTTCTGGAGATTTTGCTCTTGTTTGGAAGAGAAAAATAATCGTTAGCACATGATTAGCAATATGAAAGCTTATATTTAGACATGATCTAAGTTGAAAACACAAAGGAAAAAGATTATTCAAATCTTTATCTTGTGTTTACAGTAACACAAAAGCAGAGCATGAATTGAAACACTTAACGTTCATTCCTCTTATGGCTGATTGTTCCATTATTTCCCTACAGGTTACAGTTGCTCCTGGACATAGTTTTTCTGTTCCAAATATAAACATCCAGTAACTCTAGGTGACACTCAGCCCAAATAGCTTTCCTACGCTCTTACCTTTCTCCCTTTTTGTGCTTAACATTATGAGGTCCAGTACAGTTTCTTCACATCCTATTTTCTTTCATTTCTTACTTGCGTTTTATTCAAAAGAAAGAAATCGGCCTTCTGCCATGATTGAAATCTCCCTGAGGCTTTACTAGAATCCAAGCAGATGCCAGATTCAGGCTTCCTGAAAGCCTGCACAACCGTTTTCCCTCTTTCAAATTCCTATCTCGTGCTGTGCCTCTAGAACACCTGACCTAAGACCTGGCATTTACAAATGCTTAATAAATGGTACCTCTTGCTGTTATTAGGCTCTAAGAAAGAATAATAAAACCACATTGCTCAATTGATTATGGTGAACTGCAGGAGTTGCCAGTGTTTTTCAGCCCTTTATTTCTTGGTATGTATGTTCATCATGAGACACTGCAGGATTTTCAACATCTTCTTCTGAATCTGGTAACAAGAGCTTTACAGCTGACATGCAATAAACTGCACATATATAAAACATAAAATCTGATAGTTGGGAGACAAAGCAAGAGGGCCAAATAGGAACAGCTCTGAATTGCATTTCCCAGTGAGAGCTATGCAAGGGTGATTGATCTCCACATTTTCAAACAAGGCACCAGCTGCACCTCAATGGGACTGGTTGCACAGTGGGTGTAGCCCAAAAAAGGGCAAGCCAAGGTAGGGTGGGGCACTGCCTTACCCAGGAAGTGCAATCCCCGGAGGACCGCCGTCCCTACACAATGGAGGCCATCAGGGGCTTTTCCAGCCACTCCAGCACTTCGGTTCAGATACTGCGCTTCTCCCGCAGATTTTACTGCCCACAGACCAGAAGATTCTCAGGCTGAAAAGTTCTGTGAGTTTCCAGCATGGCTGTTTCAGCCAGCATGCAGGAATCTGCACAAAACTCACACAAAGCTGGGTGGCTGTTTCAACTGGCGCCTGGAACACCTGGAATATAAAACCACCCGTTCAGCTGAAAAAGAGGGAACTGAAAGCAGGGAGTCAGGTGATTTAGCTTGGCAGGTCCCACCCCCACAAAGACCAGCAATCAGAAACACTCTGGCTTGAGAGTTTTGCAGCAAGCACAGCAATTTGAGCTTGACCCAGGAGAGTCCAGCTCTGTGAGGGAAAGGGCACCTACCATTACCAAGGCAGTCTGCCATTACTGAGGAAGTCTGCCATTGCTGAGGCAGTCTACCATTACTGAGAGAGTCCACCATTACTGAGGCAATCTGCCATTACTGAGGCAGACCACCATAACCAAGGCAGTTCTAACTGTACCACTGTAAACAAAACGGCAAGGAAGTTTAAACAGCAGCTGGGCAGAGCCCGCAGCAGCTCAGCAATGCCTCTGCTGGCAGACTGTGACTACACTCTCTCCTTGCTGGGCAGGGCATCTCTGAAAAAAGGCAGCAGTACATCAAGGGACATTTTTTTTTTCTTTTTTTTTTTTGAGACGGAGTTTCGCTCTTGTCACCCAGGCTGGAGTGCAATGGCGTGATCTCGGCTCACCGCAACCTCCGCCTCCTGATTTCAGGCAATTCTCCTGCCAGCCTCCCAAGGGGACTTTTAAATAAAGCCCCAACTTCCCAGGACAGAGTACCTGGGAAAAGAGGCAGTTATGAGTTCCACTGCAGCAGACTTAAATGTACCTGCCCAGCAGCTCTGAACATAACAATGGAACTACCAACACAGCACTTGAGCTCAGATAAGGAACAGACTGTCTCCTCAAGTAGCTCCCTGACCCCCATATATCCAATGAGGCATCTCATAAATGAAAGCTCTAGCTGACATCTGGTGTGTACCCTTCTGGGACAAAGATAACAGAAGAAGAAACTGGCAAAAATCCTTATTTTTCTGCAGCCCCCACAGGTGATTCCCAGGCAAGAAGGGTCTGGAGTAGACCTCCAGCAGTTCTACAGCAGAGGGCCTGACTGTTAGAAGGAAAACTAAAATACAGAAAGAAATAGCTTCAACATCAACACAAAGGATGTCCGCAGAGAACCCATCTGAAAGTCACCAACTACAAAGACCACAGGTAGATATATCCATGAATATGAGAAGAAACCAGCACAAAAAGGATGAAAACACCAAAAACCAGAACATCTCTCCTCCTCCAAGGGATCACAACTCCTCACCAGCAAGGGAACAAAGCTGGATGGAGAATGAATGATGAATTGACAGAAGCAGGCTTCAGAAGGTTGTAATAACAAACTTCTCTGAGCTAAAAAAAAAAACATGTTCTAACCCAATACAAAGAAACTAAGAACCTTGAAAAAAGGTTAGATGAGACACGAACTAGAATAACCAGCTTAGAGAAGAACACAAATGACTTGATGGAGATGAAAAACACAACACAAGAATTTCATAAAGCATATACAAGTTTCAATACATGAATCGAACAAGCAGAAGAAAGGATATCAGAGATTGAAGACCAACTCAATGAAATAAATGAGAAGGCAAGATTAGACAAAAAAGAGTGAAAAGAAATGAACAAAGCCTCCAGGAAGTATGGGATTATGTGAAAAGACCTAATCTACATTTGATAGGTGTACCTGAATGTGACAGGGAGTGTTTCCAAGCTGGAAAACATTCTTCTGAATATTATCCAGGAAAACTTCCCCAACCTAGCAAGGCAGGCCAACATTCAAGTCCAGGAAATACAGAGAAAACCAAAAAAGACATTCCTCAAGAAGAGCAACCCCAAGGCACATAATCATCAGATTCACCAGGGTTGAAATGAGGAAAAAATGCTCAGGGCAGCCAGATAGAAAGGTTGAGTTACCCACAAAGGGAAGCCCATCAGACTCACAGCAGATTTCTTGGCAAAACCCTACAAGCCAAAAGAGAGTGGGGGCCAATATTTAACATCCTTAAAGAAAAGAACTTTCAACCTAGAATTTCATATCCAGCCAAACTAAGCTTCATAAACAAAGGAGAAATAAAATCCTTTATGGACAAGCAATTACTAAGAGATTTTGTCACCACCAGTCCTGCCTTTTAAGACCTTCTGAAAGAAGCACTAAACACAGAAAGGAACAACCAGTACAAACCACTCCAAAAACGTACCAAATTGTAAAGACAATCAACACAATGAAGAAACTGCATCAACTAACAGGCAAAACAAGCAGCCAGCATCAAAATGGCAGGATCAAATTCTCACATAACAATATTAACCTTAAATATAAGTGGACTAAATGCCCCAATCAAAAGACACAGACTGGCAAATTGGATAAAAATCAAGACCCATTGATGTGATGTGCTGTATTCAGGAAACGCATCTCAGGTGGAAGGACACACATAGGCTAAAAATAAAGGGATGGAGAAAGATTTGCCAAGCACGTGGGGAGCAAGAAAAAGCAGGAGTTGGCCAGGTATGGTGGCTCACGCCTATAATCCCAGCACTTTGGGAGGCCGAGGCGGGTGGATCATGAGGTCAAGAGATCGAGACCATCCTGGTCAAAAAGGTGAAACCCCGTCTCTACTAAAAATACAAAAATTAGCTGGGCATGGTGGTGCATGCCTGTAGTCTCAGCTACTCGGGAGGCTGAGGAAGGAAAATTGCTTGAACCCAGAAGGCGGAGGTTGCAGTGAGCCGAGATCGTGCCATTGCACTCCAGTCTGAGTAACAACAGCGAAACTCCATCTAAAAAAAAAAAAAGCAAGAGTTGCAATCCTAGTTTCTGATAAAATGGGCTTTAAACCAACAAAGATCAAAAGAGACAAAGAAGAGCATTACATAATAATAAAAGGATCAATGCAATAAGAAGACCTAACGAACCTAAATAAATACCCACCCAATACAGGAGCACCCAAATACATAAAGCAAGGTCTTAATGACCTACAAAGAGACTTAGACTCCCACACAATAATAGTGGGAGACTTTAACACTCCACTGTCAATATTAGACAGATCAATGTGACAGAAAATTAACAAGGATATCCAGGATTTGAACTCAGATCTGGACCCAGCAGACCTAATAGACATTGACAGAATTCTGCACCCCAAATCCATAGAATATACATTCTTCTCAGCACCACATTGCACCTACTCTAAAATTAACCACATAATTTGAAGTAAATCACTCCTCAGCAAATGAAAAATAACAGAAATCATAACAGTCTCTCAGACCACAGGACAATCAAATTAGAACTCAGATTAAGAAACTAACTCGGAAAAGCACAACTTCATGGAAACTGAGTAACTGGCTCCTGAGTGTCAACTGGATAAACAATGAAATGAAGGCAGAAATACATTCTTCAAAACCAAAGAGAATAAATACACAATGTACCAGCATCTCTGGGACACATTTAGAGCAGTGTCTCGAAGGAAATTTATAGCAATAAATGCCCACCAGAGAAGCAAGGAAATATCTATAATTGACACCCTATCATCAAAATTGAAAAAGCCAGAGGAGCAAGATAAAACTCAAAAGCTAGCAGAAGACAAGAAATAACTAAGATCAGAGCAGAACTGAATGAGATAGAGACACACACCAAAAAAAAACCTTCAAAAAATAAATGAATCCAGGAGCTGGTTTTTTGAAAAGATCAATAAAATACACAGACTGCTAGCCAGATTAATAAAAAAGAAAAGATAGAGGAATCAAATAGATGCAATAAAATATGATAAAGGAGATATCACCACCAATTCTACAGAAATATAAACTACCATCAGAGATTACTACAAAGAACTCTATACTCATAAACCAGTAAATCTGGAAGAAATGGTTAAATTCCTGGACACTTGCACCCTCCCAAGACTAAACCAGGAAGAAGTTGTAACCCTGAATAGACTAACAACAAGGGCTGAATTGAGGCAGCATTAATAGCATACCAACCAAAAAAAGCCCAGGTCCAGATGGGTTCATAGCCAAATTCTACCAGATGGACAAAGATGAGCAGGCACCACTCCTTCAGAAACTATTCCAAACAATGCAAAAGGAGGGAATCCTTCCCAAGTCATTTTATGAGGCTGACATCATCCTGATACCAAAACCCAGCAGAAACTCAACAAGAGAAGAAAACTTCAGGCCAATATCTGCAATGAACACAGATGCAAAAATCTTCAATAAAATACTGGCAAACTGATTGCAACAACACATCAAAAACTTATCCATCAAGATCAAGTAGGCTTTATTCCAGGGATGCAAGGTTGGTTCAACATACACAAGTCTATAAATGTAAACCATTACATAAAGAAAACCAAAGACAAAACCACATGATTATCTCAATAGACGCAGAGAAGGCCTTCGACAAAATTCAACAGCCTTCTATGCTTAAAACTCTCAATAAACTAGGTATCAATGGAATGTATCTCAAAATAATAAAAGCTATTTATGACAAACCCACAGCCAATATACTCAATAGGCAAAAACTGGAAGCATTCCCTTTGAAATCTGGCACTAGACAAGGATGCCCTCTCTCACCACTCCTATTCAATATAGTATTGGAAGTTCTAGCCAGAGCAATCAGGCAGGAAAAACAAATAAAGAGTACTCAATTAGGAAAGGAGGAAGTCAAATTGTCTCTATTTGCAGATGACATCCTAATATATTTAGAAGACACCATCATCTCAGCCCAAAAACTCCTGAAACTGATAAGCAACTTCAGCAAAGTCTCAGTATGCAAAATCAATGTGCAAAAATCACAAGCATTCCTATACACCAATAACAGACAGAGAGCCAAATCAAGAGCTAACTCCCATTCACAATTGCTACAAAGAGAATAAAATACCTAAGAATACAACTAACAAGGGAAACAAAGGACCTCTTCAAGGAGAACTGCAACCCACTGCTCTAGGAAATAAGAGAGGACACAGATGGAAAAACATTCCATGCTCATGGCTAGGAAGAATTAATATCACAAAAAGGCCATACTGCCCAAAGAAATTTATAGATTCAACATTATCCCCATCAAGCTACCTATCATCTTCTTCACAGAACTGGAAAAAAAAATCTTAAACTTCATATGGAACCAAAAGAGAGCCTATATAGCCAAGACAATCTTAAGCAAAAAGAACAAAGCTGGAGGCATCACACTACCTGATTTCAAACTATACTATAAGGCTACAGTAATCAAAACAGCATGGTACTAGTACCAAAACAGAAATATAGACCAATGGAACAGAATAGAGTCCTCGGAGACAACACCACACATCTACAACCAACTGACCTTTGACAAACCTGAGAATAACAAGCAATGGGGAAAGGATTCCCTGTTCAATAAATGGTGTTGGGAAAGCTGGCTAGCCATGTGCAGAAAGGAGAAACTGGACCTCTTCCTGACACCTTACACTAAAATTAACTGCAGATGGATTAAAGATTTAAACACAAGACCTAACACCATAAAAACCCTAGAAGAAAACCTACGCAAAACCATTCAAAACATAGGCATAGGCAGGGACTTCATGACTAAAACACCAAAAGCATTGGCAACAAAAGCCAAAATAGACAAATGGGATCTAATCAAACTCCACAGCTTCTGCACAGCAAAAGAAACACTCATTAGAGTGAAGTGGCTACCAACAGAATGGGAAAAAATTTTTGCAATCTACGCATCTGACAAAGGGCTAATATCTAGAATCTACAAAGAACTAACAGATTTACAAGAAAAAACCAAACTCATTCAAACAGATTTACAAGAAAAAACCAAACTCATTCAAAAGTGAGCCAAGGATATGAACAGACATTTTTCAAAAGAAGACACTTATGAGGACAAGAAACATGAAAAAGTGCTCATCATCACTGGTCATTAGAGAAATGCAAATCAAAATCTCATTGAGATATCATCTCACTCCAGTTAGAATGGCAATTATTAAAAAATCTAGAGACAACAGATGCTGGAGAGGATGTGAAGAAAAAGGAAAACTTTTACACAGTTGGTGGTAGTGTAAATTAGTTCATCCATTGTGGAAGACAGTGTGACTATTCCTCAAGGATCTAGAAATAGAAATTCCATTTGACCCGGCAATCCCATTACTGGGTATATACCCAAAGGATTACAAATCATTCTATTATAAAGAAACATGCACACGTGTGTTCATTATGGCACTGTTTATGATAGCAAAGACCTGAACTGACCCAAGTGTACATCAATGATAGACTGGACAAGGAAAATGTGGCACATATACACCATGTAATACTATGCAGCCATAAAAAAACGATGAGTTCATGTCCTTTGTAGGGACATGGATGAATCTGGAAACCGTCATTCTCAGCAAACTGAAACAAGAACAAAATCAAACACTACATGTTCTCACTCATAGGTGGGTGTTGAACAATGAGAACACATGGAAACAGGGAGGGGAGCATCACACACTGGGGTCTGTTGGGGGGCACTAGGGGAGGTATAGTAGGGGATGGGGAGGTTGGGGAGGGATAACATGGGGAGATATAGGTGACGGGGGATAAAGGCAACAAACCACCTTGTAATGTATGTACCTATGCAACAATTCTGCATGATCTGCACATGTACCCCAGAACCTAAAATACAATATAAAAAATTGTTTTTAATTAAAAAAAAAGAAATCTAAGAACTGACCCAGCAAATAATAATCCATTTTATCTAGAACTTGCAGAGAAGAAATGGCTCTGAATTGTCATTTATTAACCATTTTTCTGTTTTATAGTGATAACACATTAACAACTCAGCAGTAGATTGGTATTAACATATATGATGGTCAATACAAGTGTTACAGAGTATGGAGAATAGCAGACATATTTATGCAGTGATCCATGAAACTCTCTTTAATGGAGGTTGGATGTTCACTGGATCTTGAGGCAATGGGAAGATGTGGGTTGACTGGTCAGAGAAGATATCCCTAATAGTGGGAAGGAAGAAGACGATGGCCCTGATAAGGGAGAATTGCAGGTGACAGCAGCAGCCAGAAAGTCTGTCCTTCCTCAGACTGGAATGAAGCAGAGCTGGTACAAGGGTGGCACACGACCAAATGCATTGGCGGTGGGGGTGATGTCAATGTCCTTTGGGTCAACCTGAGACTTCAGGTTAAAGTTCTGCAAAATGGTGGTCAGGAACAAAAACAGCTCCATACGAGCCAGGCCCTCTCCTACACACATCCGTTTTCCTGAAAATAACAGACAGAAGATTTTTTTCCTTAAACATTATGTCATGAACAGTCACAAAAAGTATGCAGTAACTATTTAATAAATTATTAAATAGATGGATGATCGAAGACAGAATGGCTGGAAGGATAGTTGGATACACAAAGACAGAAAAATGGACATACTTGCTATCTACTTAGTATCTTATTTTACTAGGCACCTTTCACTCCACAAATATTTATAAAGTATCAGCTCTATGTCACGCACTTCACTAAGTATTCCCATGTTATAACTGCTCTTTTGACACCACAAGTTTCCATCAGTCTTTTTCTAGAAATGCACTCACAAGGAAGGGCTAAAAGGAGAAGCCTCATTTACTGTGTTCCTCTTTGTACCTCTGGCACAATATTTAGCCAAAGACTTTCTTTCCTGTGTACTTTCAAAAGTGTACGTCTAAACATGTCAAACTCACTTTTAAACTTTAAACAGGCCAGGTGCGGTGGCTCACACCTATAATCCCAGCACTTTGGATGCTAAGGTGGGTGGATCACCTGAGGACAGGAATTTGAAACCAACCTGACAAACATTGGGAAACTCCATCTCTACTAAAAATATAAAAAATTAGCCAGGCATGGTGGTGCAGGCTTGTAATCCCAGCTACTTGGGAGACTGAAGCAGAAGAATCACTTGAACCCGGGAGGTGCAGGCTGTGATAAGCTGAGTTCACACCATTGCACTCCAGCATGGGAAACGACATGCTAAAAAAAAAAAATTTAAACGACACTCATCTCTCCTATGGGATAAAGGCCAAATGGCTTGAACTGACTCTTCACATTCTGTTTCCAATCTGATATTCTATATCTCTCCTTCCATTTTTCATCTCCACTCTCAGCTCTAGGCATATCCATTTTTCATCAATCTCCAACACGCCATGAAGTGTCAAGCTTTATCTCTTGCTGTCCCATCTGTCTAGAAAGCACTACTCTTAGGCTTCCTTCAGAATTTGTCATTTCCTGTTTATAATTTCTGTGATCCCTAGTCAATAGAAACTCACCCTCACTAGATTTCCTCATCATATTCCTGCTTTCACTGGAGCATGGATCACCTGAAATTTTATTATCTGTGTATTTATTTTTCTATCCTGCTGAAACATGAGATCCTTAAAAGAAGGTCTCAGTTCTTGACATGTTAGTGTAAACAGTGCCAGATCCAAAGCAGGGATCAAAAGCCATGGAGAAAAATGAAAGGAACTCTATGTCCACAGACTCACCATACACTTTAGCTGTAGAGACTGAATATCTAAGATATATGATCATGAGTGGAAGGAGATCAAGGTGCTCTGAAATCACTGCAGACTAGCCTTCCACATTCCCAGAGTTTTCCTAACCCTGAAATTTGTTGGCAGGTTCTGACCCCCTAGATCTACAGAAAATGTCCTGCTATGGTGGTCCATTACCTCTGTAAAAGTGCCCTGCCTTCTCTTCTTGTCCTGCTTCTGGCTCCAATGAGGCGGCTTAAGTTTCCTTCCTCTTGGGAGTGTTATGGCCTATGAATGAGCAGGAACAGGCAGATTTTCCTGCTGAGCTCTCCAATATCCTGTGATTTCCCCTCTCTCATCCCTCCTCCTACTAGACTACAATGATCTGTTTACTTGCATACTTCTCTAAGTCAGGAGTGAGCTTCTTAAGAGCCCATTCTCTGCTCTCAGATACTTGTATCTCCAGAGTTCAGTCTAGGGAGTGAGGGACACCACAGGGGAGATATTCAAAGTCATGGAATTAGATACCTTTCTCATGGCAGATGAGAAAAGTCTTAATGAGTGTCACTCATTAAGAGGCGGGGCGCGATGGCTCAAGCCTGTAATCACAGCACGTTGGGAGGCTGAGGCGGGTGGATCACAAGGTCAAGAGATCGAGACCATCCTGGTCAACATGGTGAATCCCGTCTCTACTAAAAATACAAAAATTAGCTGGGCATGGTGGTGCATGCCTGTAATCCCAGCTACTCAGGAGGCTGAGGCTGGAGAATTGCCTGAACCCAGGAGGCAGAGGTTGCAGTGAGCCGAGATCACGCCATTGCACTCCAGCCTGGGTAACAAGAGTGAAACTCTGTCTCAAAAAAAGAAAAAAAAAAAAAAAAGAGGAACTCTTGGGCAGCTCCGTGACGTATCTAGAAGCAGAATTAAATTAACCTACACTCTAGCTTTCTCATTTTGAAAAACTGGATCAGCTCCCAAAGCCCCACTAATCTGACCCAATAATGGGGATGTTCATCAGCAGGGAAATTGCATGGGCATAGGGAATGGTGCTAATCATCTGCAAAGTAATTCAGCCAAACCCCAGAGGAGGCATCATGTAAGTCAACTGATCCAAAAAAGGTATCGTGTCCCCTGAAGGACAGATGGAAATGAATATTACCTGTTGAAAAAGGCATGAAGTAGTCACTTTTCTTAAAGTTGCCACTCTTATCCAGAAAGTGGCTAGGGTCAAACATCTCTGGATTAGGAAATTCTTTGTCATTATGCAGCACAGAAGTCAGTGATGCTATTATGGTAGTGCCCTGGAAATAACAAAACAGATAAACTAAGTTACTAAGAAGTTAAAGAGTGGGAGGAAGTGATGGAAATCACCTAGTTCAATCTCTTTGATCAATAGATAAGAAAATTGAAGTCCAAAGAAGAAGTTACATTCCCAGCCAGAGAGACCTAGTAAGAAGAAGGATGAATATAAGGTGAGTGGAAATGACTTTGCTAAAGTGCCTTCCAATTAACTGCATTTGAAGTCCTGAGCCTTTGCGTATTCTAGGGCAGCCTTCTGAATCTCATGTTTATCATCAAGCTTGGACCCTGGTGTACATCCCCACTTACTGCTGTATTTCATCACTTCGGTTTTCACACATCTCACACATGGATTACTGGGATTTTTTGTTTTTTCTTTGTTGATTTTTTCTGCAGAACTGTTACATGGGTATATTGTGTGATGCCGAGGTTTGGGGTACAAATAATTCCATCACCCAAGTAGAGAGCACAGTATCCAACAGGTAGTTTTTCAACCATTCCTCCCATCCAGCCCTCATTCTAGTAGTCCCCAGTGTCTTTTGTTGCCATCTTTATGTCCATGAATACCAATGTTTAACTCCCCCTTGTAAGTGAGAACATAAAATATTTAGTTTTCTGTTCCTGCATTAATTCACTTGTGATAATGGCCTCCAGCTGCATCTATGTTGCTGCAAAGAATAAAATTTCATTTTTTTTATGGCTGCATAGTGTTTTCTGGTGTATTTGTGCCCCATTTTCTTTATCTAGTCCACTGTTGATGGGCATTAGGTTGATTCCAATCCTTTGCCATTGTGAATTGTGTTATAATGAATATAAAAATGCATGTGTCTTTTTGGTAAAATAATTTATTTTCTTTTGGAAATATAATGGGATTGCTAGATCAAATGGTAGTTTGTTTTAAGTTCTTTGAGAAACATTGAAACTGCTTTCCACAGTAGGTGAACTAATTTGCATTCCCACCAGGGGCCTATTAATTATTCCCTTTTCTCCACAGCCTTGCCAGCATCCGTTGTTTTTTGACTTTTTAATCACAGCCATTCCAACTGATGTGAGATGGTATCTCTTTTTTGGTTTTAATTTGAATTTCTCCGATGATTAGTGATGTGAAGAATTTTTTCATATGTTTATTGGCCACTTGTATGTCTCTTGATAAGTGTTTGTTCATGTCTTTTGCCCACTTTTTAATGGCATTGTTTTTTGTTTGTTCAATTGTTTAATAACCTTATAGGATATTAGACGTTGGATGCATAGTTTGCAAATATTTCCTCCCATTCTGTGGGTTGTCTGTTTACTTTGTTAATAGTTTCTTTTGTTATGCAGAAGATCTTTAGTTTAATTTTTAACTAAATTAACATGTCTATTTTACTTAACATACTGATTTTTTTTTCATTGTGATTGCTTTTGAGGACTTAGTCATAAATTCTTTCCCAAGGCCAATGTCCAGAATAATGTTTCTAGGTTTTCTTCTGAAATTCTTTTAGTTTGATGTCTTAAAACTTTAATTCATCTTGAGCTCATACTTGCATATGGTGAAAGGAAGGGGTCCAGTTTCTTTCTGCATATGGCTAGCCTGCCATCTCATTTATGAATAGGGAGTCTTTCCCCATTGCCCATTTTTTATCAGCTTTGTCAAAGATCAGAGGGCTGTAGGTATGCAGCTTTATTTCTGGGTTCTCTATTCTGTTCCATTGGTCTGTGTGTCTGTTTTTGTACCAGTACCATGCTACTTTGGTTACTGTAGCCTAATAGCTTAGTTTGAAGTCTCCAGCTTTGTTCTTTTTGCTTAGGTTTGCCTTGGCTGTTTGGGCTTTTTGTTTCCATATGAATTTTAGAAGAAACACTGGTAGTCTGATAGGAATAGCATGGAATCTGTAATTGCTTTGGGCAGTATAGCCATTTTAACGATATTGATTCTTTCAATCCATGAGAATGGAATGTTTTTCCATTAGTGTCATCTATGATTTCTTTCAGCAGTGTTTGTACTTTTCCTTATAGAGATCTTTCACCTCTTTGGTTAGATGTATTCCTAGTCATTTAATTTTTTGTGGCTGTTGTAAATAGGGTTGTGTTCTTGATTTGGCTCTCAGCTTGAATGTTACTGATATATAAAAATGCTATTGATTTTTGTACGTTTATTTTGTATCCTGAAACTTTACTGAAGTCATTTATCACTTCCAGGGGCCCTTTTGGCAGAGTCTTTGGGGGTTTCTAGGTGTAGAAGCATATCTTCGGTGAAGAGAGATAGTTTGATTTCTTCTATTCCCACTTGAATACTGTTTCTTTCTTTCTCTTGTCAGATTGCTCTGGCTAGGACTTCCAGATGATGGTTTTTAAATAGCAGTCTCTGCTGGCTCTTAAAGAGTCAGAAGAATTTGGAATCTATTCATAGAGTTGTTTTCGATGAAGGTCTGATCTAATTGAAAATAACTTCTGAGATGATATCAACAAGTACACTAAAATCTATTGAGGAGTTTGATCACAAAAATACTATATGTTTCTTTTAATTAAAATATGTGAGGGAACTCTTCATTATAGATGAATTCAACCTAAAAAAAACACAGAAGGAATGAGAAAAGTAGAAAAATAATCATTTCTGCAGCCATTCATCTAGGACCATAGATTCAGGCAAGGATCATCAATTAACTTTAAAACTACTGGGTAAAATTTTGGGGAAACTAATATTCACAAGGTCTTATAGTACTATGCCTTTTTTTTATTAACTACATATGAAAAACAGAACCCCAACAATGGAGAGACCTAGCAGACACACCCTTACAAAGTGTGGACTGCACATGTGATGCAATGGCACATATATGACATCATGTATGTAAATTTCTTGCCAAAAACACATAACTTGAATCTAATTGTCAAGAAAACATTCATACAAAACTAGACTGAGCAATGTTTTACATAACAAGAGGACTGGACTCTTCAAAACTATCATGTATTAAAGTGAAACAAACTAAAAGAAACCGTTTGTGACAAAGGAGGACTAACAGAACAAGATAACCAAATTAAAAGCTTGTTCCTTGACAGGACTACAGAAATTCCACCAAAAAAAAGCTATAAGAGATATTTTTGTATAACTGGGAAACAAATTATAAGATATTAGATAATATTAATGTATTGATAATAATTCCTTGAGTGTGAATGTTGTTATTATTATGCAGGAGAAAGTCTTTGTTCTTGGGAATTATATACTGAAGTAGTTAGGTGTTAAATGTGACAGATTAGATTACATAGGTATATAGATGATGGATAAATGTATAGATTAAAATGTAGATGTATATACATTTCCACATATTATATGTATACTATATATCTATACACACATATATTCATTCTAGAAAGATGTTATGATGTAGTTGTTATAGATTTTATAATACTCCCAGTGTGGGAGTGGGGAGATACCATATAACTGAATATATTGATATTTCTTTTTTTTTTTTTTTTTTTTTTTTTTGAGACAGGGTCTTGCTCTGTTGCACAAGCTGGAGTGCAGTGGAATGGCCATAGCTCACAGCAGCCTCAACCTCATGGACTCCAGGAATCCTCCAGCTTCAGCCTCCTGAGTAGCTGAGACTACAGGAGCATGCCACTGTGCCTGGCTAATTTTTTTATTTTTTGTAGAGGTAGGGTTTCACTATGTTGCCCAGGCTGGTCTCCAGCTCCTGGGTGCAAGTGATCCTTCCACTTTGGCCTCCCAAAGTGCTGGGATTACAAGTGTGAGCCTCCATGCCTGGCCTTTTCTTTAGCACGACATTAATATTTATGCAAAATATGATAAAGAAAGAATATAAATACATTCATTCCATTCAAGTAAAGGTTTAGCTAAACTAAATTATACCCAACTTAAATTGTTTTTAGCTATTCAGGCTTTTAGAATTGCATAATTGAGAATGAGATTTCTAACCCTGTATTACAGAAAATTTAAAAATTAGATATGTGTTGTCTAGCATGGTAGCAATGAATGATCCATGGTTATTTGTATTTAAATTTAAAGTAATTACAAGTAAATAAAATTTTAAATTCTGTTCTTTAGTTGCATTCATCACACTTCAGGTGCTCAATAGGTACCTCTAATGATTGCTATTCTAACTGGAGTGAGATAGTATCTCAATGCAAGTTTGATTTGCATTTCTCTAATGACCAGTGATTATGAGTATTTTTTCATATGTTTCCTGGCCTCATAAATATCTTCTTTTGAAAAGTATCTGTTCATATCCTTGGCCCACTTTTGAAATGAGTTTGTTTTTATCTTGTAAATCTGTTTTAGTTCTTTGTAGATTCTGGATATTAGCCCTTTGTTAGATGGGTAGATTGCAAAAATTTTTTCCCATTCTATTGGTTGCTGATTCACTCTAATGATTGTTTCTTTTGCTGTGCAGAAGCTCTGGAGTTTAATTAGATCCCATTTGTCTATTTTAGCTTTTGTTGCCAATGCTTTTGGTGTTTTAATCATGAAGTCTGTGCCTATGCCTATGTCCTGAATGGTTTGCATAGGTTTTCTTCTAGGGTTTTTATGGTGGTAGGTCTTATGTTTAAGTCTTTAATCCATCTGGAGTTATTTTTAGGGTAAAGTGTCAGGAAGGGGTCCAGTTTCTCCTTTCTGCACATGGCTAGCCAGTTTTCCCAACACCATTTATTGAACAGGGAATCCTTTCCCCATTGCTTGTTTTTGTCAGGTTTGTCAAAGATCAGATGGCTGTAGATGTGTGGCATTGCCTCCAAGGCCTCTGTTCTGTTTCATTGGTCTACATTTCTGTTTTGGTACCAGTATCATGCTGCTTTGATTGCTGTAGGCTTGTAGTATAGTTTGAAGTCAGGTAGTGTGATGCCTCCAGCTTTGTTCTTTTTGCTTAGAATTGACTTGGCTATGTGTGCTCTCTTTTGGTTCCATATGAAGTTTAAGGTGGTTTTTTCCAGTTCTGTAAAGAGGGTCATAGGTAGCTTGATGGGGATAGCACTGAATCTATCAATTACTTTGGGCAGTATGGCCATTTTCACGATAGTATTCTTCCTAACCATGAGCATGGAATGTTTCTCCACCTGTTTGTGTCCTCTTTTATTTTGTTGAGCAGTGATTCATAGTTCTCCTTGAAGAGGTCCTTTACATCCTTTGTTAGTTGTATTCCTAGGTATTTTATTCTCTTTGTAGCAATTATGAATGGCAGTTCGTTCTTGATTTGGCTCTGTTTAAGTCTGTTATTGGTGTATAGGAATGCTTGTGATTTCTGCACATTGATTTTGTATCCTAAGACTTTGCTGAAGTTGCTTATCAGTTTAAGCAGATTTTGGATGGAGATGATGGGGTCTTCTAAATATACAGTCATGTTGTCTGCAAATAGAGACCATTTGACTTCCTCCTTTCCTAACTGAATATCCTTTATTTCTTTTTCTTGCCTGATTGCTTTGGCTGCATTTTTTCATATGTCATAACTGGCACTTAACCAAAACTTATGCGTCACTCCAAAGACAGAACTAAGTGAGCACAAGAATAGAGAAGGGAGAAAAGGTTATAAAAATAAACACAGTAGGGAACATTATCTTCCTCATTTTATAAAGCCAACATTTCCTCAGTATCAGAAATCTGACAAAATTTTGAAGAAGAAAAATTGCAAACCAATGTCTCTATAAATGTAAATTCAAACATCCTGAAAAAATATAGCAAATAAAAACGCAGCTGTGTATGTCTGTGTGTGTGCATTTCTGTGTATTTTAATTAACACATTATATGTGTATATATATAGGAAGACCAAAATATATGGCCATATCAATTGATGCAGAGACTCCACTTGATCAAATTGTATACACATTCATGACCAAAAAAAATCATCAAAACAGAAGAAGGCAAGCTTCTCTAATCTGATTTTTTTAATGGCAAAATATACATAAAACATCACTCTCACTGGTGAGATGTTAAACCTCCACCCATGCTGAACATCATATATGAAACAAGGATGCTGACTATCACTATTTATTCAACACTGCCCTAAACAGTGAAATAAAGCAATAAAGAGAAAATTGAGTTATAAGAATTAAAAATAAGAAATAAATATTAAAATAGATCACAGAATACATAGGAACTATAAATATATTTACAAACAAAAAATTAGCAATACTAAGTAAATGTGCTTGATGTAAGCTCATCAAAATAATAAAGTCAATTACATTTCCAGATACCAGAAAAACATGGAAAGGCATTTTTTTTAAGTATACTATTTAAAAGTCAGGTGCAGTGGCACATATCTCTAATCCCAACTATTCAGGAAGATGAGGCGGGAGGATTACTTGAGCCCAGGAGCTCAATCTAGGCAACATAGCAAGAATCCATTTTGAAAATATAGTTCTTTAAATACTATATATGTTTATTTCATATTATATATATTTATATTATATATTATATACACAACTTACAAATACATCAAAGTATCATTTATTTCAGAAAAAAATATATGTGAAAGCCACTGAACTGAAAACAAAACATTACTGACAAAATAGAAGAAAGCCCAAATAAATTAAGAGTATAATCATATCCATGAATTGAGAGATTCAACATGTCAGGACTTCAATTATTTCTAAATTGATCTGAAGATTTAATGTCACCATGATAAAAATACCAGCACAGTGTTTTGGGAAATTGACAAAATGATACTTTAAACATTTATTTGGAAATGTAAAAACCTGAGAATAGTCACAAAAAAAATTATTAAAGCAGCAGAACAAATTTGGAAGACATACACTGCCAGATACCAAGACCTGTTATAAACCTTCATAGGCCCAAACTGGAATGCAAACAGCAGAGTCCATCAAGCTGCCTCAAATATGACTTTCACACTTCTCTCATTGCGTGCTGTTAGGGGATTGGGACCATACTATGAATTTAGGGACTTTGAGAGCATGGAGGTGTAGTGCAGGAGAAACAAGCTTACCTTGGGGATGAGGTAGTTTCTGAATTTAACATCACAGGTCACTGCATGGGGCAGGTTAGTAGGAATGAGGTCAATGTATCTCTGGATCTCATGCACCACAGCATCCGTGTAAGGCATGTGGCTCCTGTCCTGCATGCAAGGGCTCCGGTTTCTGCCAGCCACACGTTCTATCTCTTCCTGGACTTTAGCTGATAAGACATAAATAAGAAATGATGAAAAAGGAGAAAAATGGCATATTTGTTGTAGCAATTCAGGTTACATGAAGCATGATAAAGGGGTCCCAACATCACTATTAACTTAAATTATAGGACTGAAAGTAAACCTAGACTTAGAGAGGAAATTACTACATTATAGATACATCTAACTCTCCTACAAGCTAAGCATTAAGATAAATTTGTAACCGCCTATATATTAGCATACAGAATCAGTACAAATATAAATGATAAATTGCTTCAAAATATAAATAGTACATTGTAATCTCAAGAAATTACTGTCTTTGCAGAAAGAAAAAAATCAAATTGTTATATCAGAATAATACATAATGTTTTAAAACCATACATATAGATCTACTAGCAGATTAAAACAAGTAAAAAAAAAACAAGTAACCAATCAAATTCTCTTTGTTCTTGATGTCTTCCCTTACACCTCCATTATCCATTGGGTGCATTCTAAGGCATTTGTTTTCTATGCCTGGTGTCCAGCAGCCTCCCTAACACTTCCATCCTCCTACATGAGATCTCCTAGTCCTAGCAGCCAACTTCTCTGACTTGGCTTCAGACATTTGGGTGGAAAATATCCTCCAATATCTGTCTAAAAAACTAACACAGAGGGTACAATTTTTTTTGCCAGCTTGCAGGTCTGAAAATATTATCTATAAATACACAAGGTAACAGCTGCTCTTGACAATTCTAATGCCATTTTGATTCCTGATCCTTTATATGTGACCTAATTTATCTCTGAATGTTTTTATGACTTTCCCTTTAACTCTGATGTTCTAAAATTCCATGGCCTGGTGTCTTGGATGAATATTTTCATTTCATTTACTTTGCTGGACATTTGGTAAAAATTTTCTATCTAAATGGTGAAAAATCGAGGTCTTTTCACTGATGCTACTACTTGTTCTCCAGAGTTTACATCTGGCTGCTGAATTTCAGGAACAAGATGGAGAAAGGAGCCAAAGGCCTTAGAATTCAAGTGGACTTTTACCTAACCCCTCACTCTTTCCCGGTCTCTGTCTGTTGTCCATGAGTGAGCCTCTCAGGTTCGGTTTCTCTAGAGAGTGAATCTCCCTCTTCTGTGAGGAAAAACAATTAATTGACAAAAGGAGTTGTAGAGAGAATGTAGACAGGGAGAATTTTCTGTTTTTGCATCATTCTACCTCTATGTTCTTTGGGTCTTTGTTCTTTTGAATACTCAGCCTTATAGGGACTATCACAACACAAATTCTTATGACCCTTAGGTTGCAACTTCAATCTCCCTGCCAAATTGGTTATCATCCTTCTATCTGCTCTATGTGTCTCAGAACTTTAATACAGACTTGATGGTTGTTTCCTGTACTCCTCTATTCTAACTGTAACAAAAACAATTCTCATTTGTAATAAATTTATCATCATTTCAATGTGATTCTGACCCCAGAAAAACAAGTATGTGGTTAATATGCTATGTGGAACCAGAATCTGCTTATAGATAAATAAATACAAAATTTGAAGAAAAAGAGTTGCTTGTAAAAAATAAAACTATTGACCCTAAGAAAAAATATTAACAAGTACCATTTTTCTAGATGCAGATTTTGATAATAAAATTCCCTTAGGCACAATTTTGTGCTTAAATAGCATATAGCTTTACTATAAACCTAAGCATTTAAAATACTTGCGAGACTATGCAGATTTTCTCAGGCTATCTCATCAAATTTCTAGAATATTCATTATACACTTCAATAAATAGTATTTCTTAAAGAATTAAAAATAGAACTACCCTTTGATCCAGCAATCCCACTACTGGGTATCTATTCAAAGTAAAATAAATCATTTTATCAAAAAGACATCTGCATTCATATTTTTACTGCAGCACTATTCACAAAGGCAAATTCATAAAATCAACCTAAGCATCCATCAACAGATGATTGGATTAAAATCATATGTGTGGAGTGTAAAAATCTGCATCTAGTACTCTATGGTGTGTCTCACGCACACACGTACACACACACACCATGCACTACTACTCAGCCATGTAAAAGAATAAAATCATGTCTTTTGTAGCAACATGGATGGAAATGGAGGCCATTATCCTAAGTGAAAAGGCTCAAAATAGAAAGGCAAAAACCACATGTTCTCTCTTATAAGTGGGAGCTAAACAATGAGTACACAGAGACATAGACATACAGAGTGGAATAAAAGACACTGGAGATTCCAAAAGGTGAGAGGGTGGGAGGGAGGTAAGGGATGAAATGCTACCTAGTGGTACAACGTACACTACTCAAGCGATGGTTACACTAAAAACCCAGACTTCACCACTATGAAATATATTCATGAACACAATTGTACTTGTACCCCTAAGTCTATAAAAATAGAAATTTACTGGCCAGGAACAGTGGCTCATACCTGTAATTCCAGCATTTTGGGAGGCTAAGGCAGGCAGATCAGAAGGTCAAGAGTTCAAGACCAGCCTGGCCAGCATCGTGAAACTCCACCTCTCCTAAAAATACAAAAATTAGTTGGACATGGTGGCACACACCTGTAGTACCAGCTACTTGGAAGGCTGAGGAAGGAGAATCACTTGAATCTGGCAGGCAGAGGTTGCAGTGAGCCAAGATCTAGCCACTGCACACCAGCCTGGGTGACAGAGCTAGACTCCGTGTCAAAAAAAAAAAAGCATACCTATCTCTCAAAGTGGTCTGTTCTAGTGGAAAATTGAATTTTGTAAACATGCCTTTTAGTGAAATATAATTTCTATTCATTTCAAAAAAGAAACTGCAACAAAGTGGTCTGTTCTTAAGAAAACCAACATACAATCCTAGACCAATTTGTGATGTCTGTGCCTGCTACAAATCCTCTCCAATGAAATCTAGACACTTTATTCAGAGTATTTTGTCACTAAAATCCAGGGCTTTGCCACGTTTGCTGCTGATTACACTCTTTTCACTTCTCTTAGTCACAATTCCTATTGTGCAAATTTGTCTCATTCTTATCCTTTCATCATATTTAGACAACTTACAGCCAATGGCATGGAAATTTCAATAATGAAGCTTCTCTAAGAGAAACAAGATGTAGAACAATAGCAATGTCTTTCCAACATCATTTCTGAAAATCACCCTGCTCACCATACATCATCATACCTGTGACCTCTGGGTACTTTAGCAGGAGCAGGAGTCCAAATCTCAAAGTGGTGCTTGTTGTCTCTGTTCCAGCTCCAAACACATCAGTTACAGTGGCTATCAAGTTTTCAATAGTAAATTCAGACTGTTGATTGTGCTTTTCCTAAAAATTATTTCATCATTTAATTATTTGATAGTTTGCCAGCATATTAAATTCCCAAAATTCCAAAATAGCTCAGGTTGTTCTAAAGATAGGGAAATTTGGAAATTAGAGAGTGGAGTATTAAAACTACAACAACTGCACAGTGTGGCAGAGAATATAAAATACTTCATTTTCCATTCCCGCTTATCCATGGCTTGCCTAAAAATTACATTTCCCAGTATCTCTTGGAACTGTGTTAGTCATGTAACATATTTCCTGTCTATGACATATAAGCAGGAATCTGCTGATGGTACTTTCTCTCTCTCCTTTTTACTCAAAACACATATATGAAGGTAAAGTGGTACAGACATCACCTTGGAACATGAGTATTTAAGAATCACAACAAGACCAGCTGTGGTGGCTCATGCCTATAATCTCAACACTTTGGGATGCCAAGGCACAAGGATCACTTGAGCCCAGGAGTTTGACACCAGCCTGGGCACAAGTGAGACCTTCTGTCTCAAAAAAAATTTTTTTAATTGGCCAGGTGTGGTGGCCCATGCCTGTAATCCCAGCAGTTTGGGACGCTGAGACAGGTAGGTCATCTGGAGGCAGGAGTTCAAGACCAGCCTGGGCAACATGGTAAAACCTCATCTCTAATAAAAACACAAAAATTAGCCAGTGTGAGGGCATGTGCCTGTAATCTCAGCTACTCAGGAGGCTGAGGTATGAGAATCACTTCCTGCAACCCAGGAAGCGGAGGTTGCAGTGAGCCGAGATTGCATCACTGCACTCACTCCATCCTGGGAGATAGAGCGAGACTCCTTTTCAAAAAAAAACCAAAAAACAAAAACAAAAAATAAACCAGGTGAATGGCACATATCTGTGGTCCTGGCTACATAAGAGGCTGACACAGAGAATCACATGGCCCAGGAGGTCAAGACTGCAGTGAACCATGATCATACCACTATACTCCAGCTTGGGTGACAATGAGAGATCCTGTCTCAAAAAAAAAAAAAAAAATAATGAAGATGAAGGTTCATGTTCTAAGTGTGGGATCAAGAATGGCAGCTACCTGGTTCTAGGATGCTTCAGAGCTACAGTACTAGTTCTGCACTGCCCAACATGACACCCTGTATGTGAAATAAATCAACACATTATTGGTTTAAGCCATGTTAATTGTTTTTTTCTTGTTTGTATACACACAATCTTAATTGATAGAAATAGAAATAAGTAAATTAGGGACACAAATACATTATAAGTCAGAATCAAAGATTTGCAATTCTCAGTGTCACATCAGCAACATTGCAGAATAGGAGGCTCCAGTCTCTCCTGACACCCAAGGATATATGAAATAAACATCTATTCGCATATCAATTTCCTCTGAGAGAAAGTCTGAAACAAGTTGAAAGACTTCTATGTACTGGGCAACAAAGAAAATATCCATATACTGGCAAGAAAAAGCTACAGCACCAACCTGACCCAGGCACTACACCATACAATTGAGAAGGAATCCCCAACACCCAGCTTCTCCCTGAGGAAATGAGGGTTTAGACCACACATTAACACCCAACTCTAAGATTCCCCACAGCTATGCACTTAACTTGCCAAATCTGGGAGCAGAGAGGACGAAGTATAAAGGAGTCTCTCTCTAGACCACTGAAAAAAGTACCAGTATTTATATTGGTTCACAAGCACTTCCAGAGATTTTATTCTCTGGGATCAGAGCAGAGAAAGGGATAAAACTCAAAAGTCCAAGTTTCTTCCTAGACGAGACTTAGTAGCATGTTCTGCAAATGGCTGCTGCTGACAGTGGAACTTCTAACTATCCTCAACACAAAAAAGGCCATATATGACAAGTGCACAGCTAACCTTATACTCAGTAGTGGAAATTCGAAGGAAAGAGATCAGAGAAAAGATATAGATGCCCACTCTCACTACTTTAATTCAACATAATACAGGAAGTACTAGCAAGAGCAATTAGACAAGAAAAATAAATGAAAGTTATCCAAAGAAGAAAAGAATTAAAATTGTCTGTTTGCTAATGGCATGATCTTATATATAGAAAACCTTAAAGATATCACCAAAAAACTCTTAGAACTAATAATTAAATTCAGTAATGTTGCAGGATACAAAATCAACACACAAAAATTGGCACACACACAAAAATTAGAAACACAAACAAAAATTGGCAGTGTTTCTATACACTAACAACAAATGATATAAAAAAATTTTTGGCTGGGTGCAGTGGCTCACGCCTGTAATCCCAGCACTTTGGGAGGCCAAGGTGGGAGGATCAGGAGGTCAAGAGATAGAGACCATCCTGGCCAACATGGTGAAACCCGGTCTTTACTAAAAATACAAAAAAAATAGCTGGGCATGATGGTGCGTACCTGTAGTCCCAGCTACTCGGGAGGCTGAGGCCGAAGAATGGCTTGAAACTGGGAGGGGGAGGTTGCAGTGAGCCAAGATTGCACCACTGCACTCCAGCCTGGCGACAGACCAAGACTCCATCTCAAAAAAGTAAATAAAATAAAAATTAATAAAAAAGGAATTTTAAAAACAATCCCATCTACAATAGCATCAAATAAATAAAGTATTTAAAAGCAAATTTAACCAAAAAAGTGAAAGGCACCAAAAATATAAAACATTAATTTAAAAATGAAGACGGTTGGCCACAATGGCTCATGCCTATAATTTCAGGACTTCGGGAGGCTGAGACAGGCAGATCACGAGGTCAAGAGATCAAGACTATCCTGGCCAACATGGTAATACCCCATTTCTACTAAAAAATTAGCTGGGCACACATCTGTAGTTCCAGCTACTCAGAAGGTTGAGGCAGGAGAATTGCTTGAACCCAGAAGGCAGAGGTTGCAGTGAATCAAGATTGTGTCACTGTACTCCAGCCTGGCAACAGAGTGAGACTCCATCTAAAAAAAAAAAAAAGTAAGAAGACACAAATTAAAAAAAGATACCATATACATGGATTGGAAGAGTTGATATTGTTAAAATGTCCATACTATCCAAGGCAATTTATAATTTCATTGTAATCCCTATCAAAATTTCAATGTTATCTCTCATAGATATAGAAGTCATCCCAAAAACATTCATATAGAACCACAAAAATACCCAAATAACCAAGGGAATCATAAGCAGAAAGAACAAAGCTGGAGGCATCACATTACCTGATTTCAAGTTATACTACAAATTAAGAGTATTTAAAACAGCATGTTACTGGCATAAAAAATAGATACATCAACCAACAGAATAAAATAGAGAGTCAGAAAAGAACCCATGCAACTACGGTCAATTGATTTTAGACAAAGGTGCCAAGAATATGCAATGGAAAAGAGATAGTTTCTTAAATAAATGGTGAGAAAACTAGATATACATATTCTAAGAATAAAATCGAACACTTATCTCACACCATATACTCAAGCAACTCAACATGGATCAAAGACTTAAACATAAGACCAGAAACTGTAAACTACCAGAAGAAAAGATTGAGGAAAAACTACATGACATTGGTCTGGCCATAATTGTTTAGATCTTACCCCAAAAGCAGAAGCAGCAAAAGCAAAGATAGACAAATGGGATTATGTCGAACTAAAAAGCCTCTGCACAGCAAAGGAAACAACATAATGAAGAGATAAATTATGGATTGGGAGAAGTATTTGTAAGCCATATATCTGATAAGGGATTAATATCCAAAGTATATAAGAGGGTCGGGTGCGGTGGCTCACACCTGTACCCCCAGCACTTTTGGAGGCCAAGGCAGGTGGATAACCTGAGGTCAGGAGTTAGAGACCAGCCTGGATAACATGATAGAACCTCATCTCTACTAAAAATACAAAAATTAGCCATGTGTGGTGGCACACACCTCTAATCCCAACTACTCAGGAGACTGAGGCAGGAGAATTGCTTGAACCCCAGAGGCAAAAGTTGAAGTGAGCTGAGATCGAACCACTGCACTCTAGCCTGGGCAACAGAGTGAGACTCAGTATCAAAAAAAGCCAAAAAAACACAACTATATGTATATGGAACTTAACTCCATAGAAAGAAAACAAATAATCCAATTAAGAAATGGGCAAAGAACCTCAATGAACATTTGTAAAAAGAAGACATATGGGCCAGGTGTGGTGGCTCACTCCTGTAATCCCAGCACTTTGGGAGGCTGAGGCAGGCAGATCGCAAGGTCAAGAGATCAAGACCGTACTGGCCAACATGGTGAAAGCCTGTCTCTACTAAAAAAATACAAAAATTAGCTGGGCATGGTGGCACGCGCCTATAGTCCCAGCTACTTGGGAGGCTGAGGCAGGAGAATTGTTTGAACCAGGGAGGCAGAGGTTGCAGTAATCCAAGATCATACCATGGACTCCAGCCTGGCTCCTGGTGACAGAGCGAGACTCTCTCTCCAAAAAAAAGAAGACATGAATGACTAAGAGACACAGGAAAAAGATCCTCAACATCACTAATCATTAGAAAGGTACAAATTAAAAACACAATGAACTATCACCTCATATCTGTTAGAATGGCTATTATCAAAGAGAAAAAAATAAGTGTCAGTGAAGATGTGGAAAAGGGGAACACCTGTGCACTGTTGATGGAAATGTAAATTAGTGCAACCATTATAGAAAACAATATAAAGGTTCCTCCAAAAAACAAAATAGAATTACGATATGATTCAGTAATTCAGCTTATAGGCATTTACCCAAGAGATTTGAAATCAGTATGCCAAAGAGATGTCTGCACTCCCATGTAAATTGCAGCACTATTCACAATAACTAATATATAGAACCAGTCTAAGTGTCAATTAGTAGATAAATGGATAAAGAAAATTTGATATATATATGCAATGGAATATCATTCAACCTTAAAATGAAGAAATTCTGTTATTTGTGACAACATGGATGGAAGTGGAGACCACTATGCTAAATTAAATAAATCATGTCAGGAACAGAAAAACAAATGCCATATATTCTCACTTACATGTGGAATCTAAAACAACTAAACTCAAAGAA